TTACTTTATGATCTGAAATCAGATACAGATGAAAAGACCGAATGACAGTAATCACATACACTTGGTAGGAAGATGTAGCTGGTTATCACTACCAATTATTAGGATTAGGGTGCGATTACTTTTGATTTGGATACTCTTTTCCCTTTATAAGTAAAATCACCACTCAAAAGTCAAGTGATCATTTATAATAAAACTGTTTTGATGATCGGAAACATTAGATTAAGAAAAGCCAAAACAGAAACCTTCATGAGACCAAAACAGTCAGCAAGCTTGCCTTAAAATGGAGAGTTAAGCTGAACGTATACATTTAGAAAGAACTCTGAACATTTTCCCAGACATTGTTAGCTATTCTTGGGTAAGGTGGTAAAATTGGGGTGCCAACATTGGTGTCATTTAGACCGTGAACCCAGTGAGCACATTCTGACCACTCTCCGAAATGGCCCATTTCGTTTCCATTAGTTTTTAAAATCATAATTTGTTAAAAATTCTCTGACAAATGGCTTCTGGGGAAAAAAGAGGTTTTGAGTGGAAGCACTTCTCCCTCGGGTGTGTGAGAGAGGAGAGGACCTGCGTGCTATCACAGCCACAGTAAAGTACCTGCCACAGGCGGCGGGGTATAATAGCCAGCCTGTCCGCAGACGGGTTGCAGAATATTGGTGTTAGCAGGCTATGCAGAAAGCTCAGTGTTTATGAACCTGTGAAATATCTTAAAAAACTTCCTTCATGGCCAGAGCAGTTTACAAGCTTGTATCCAAAACATTCAGAGCTGCAGTTTGATGATGCAAAACAGAAGAACACAACTGCTATCAAGTGCTGCAAATTAAATCTTGATTGCATTACATTTAGTCAATTGCTCTTGAATTGTTTATTAGGTACCAAAGTAAGTAGAGCTGAAGAACGAGGGGATATAGATAGCAGTAAAAGTTAATTGTAATTTATTTTCAGGTAGGGGCTAAGATACAACAATCTCTTTTTTTAAGGTTTAACAAACAACAAACTGCCATTTAAATAATTTATATAAAACGAAGAACAGTCATTGTTTCAATAAATACAATCTAATTGTGTCCTAAATCTTATTGATTTATAAACAGGTATTTATATCATGTAGATTTATCAGGTACTTACTGGACAATAATTGTATTTTTGTAATAATGGAAAAAATAAAAAATCGGATAACCTGGTGATTTATGATTATGTTCATAATAATTATAAGTATTCATGGTTATTTTGATGCATTAGCTTAAAATATATCAGGATAAGTACCCAGAAGGTCAGATATTTTTTATGTTTAAGTCTAAATTATCACTTTTTATGCCTGCCTGTTCTTTACAGAGTTAGCTGTCTTGTGCTGTTGGCTCAAATTATTTTATTAAATTACTGTTTAATTTTGATTATGCTGTGTAGTAAGCCTGCAGTTAGCTACTCTATACAAATTAGGGTAGAAACTAATAATTATTTTGCTAGTCATTTGATTTTTAAAATGAATAATGGGATAGCAAAATATTTCTTAAAGAAGATTTTTAACAGAATTTAATCTAGATGAAACATTGTTTTTTTCTTAAATGCAAAATATTTATATATTTTATTATAAATGTGGTATAATTGCTGCTCTGATAGGATTGCTCTTTCAGCTAAAGGGATGTTTTAGAGTCAATATACTCCATTTAACGATTAATCGATTGGATTATTTGAGGATTAGTTCAATTATTGATTAATCCACAATTGTCCCATTAATTGTTAAGCCATAATAGAAATTCCAGTGTAGCTTCAAAACAGAGTGATAAATGATACCATGCTAGTTTGCACAACATGACCCTCTGGAAATATTTAAAAAACTGAAAAATATGTCCACTATGTAAGTTCAAAAGCCTTTTTTGGAGTTAGTTATTTTCACTAGTTGTTCTGGACCAAAATGCAAAATGACTGGCATGATGAGTTTTATAGATTTTAATGAAATCCTTCAGGTAGATTAAAAACAGAACAGGTGAAGAAACAGAAGTGAACCGAGGATCAGGTGAATAGTGGCAAATGACTGAGACTGTGAGTAGAGGGGAAAACAGGTGCAAACGCATGAACAAACAAGGAAACACAGATGCTGAGAACCGACTAATTAACAACAAGCTCTGGCAGAGGGAGAGACTGTAAAGCAAGGATAAACACTGGAAGGAACACATGAATAACACAAGAAATAATGACTGAATAGATGAAGACAAAACCAACTAAAATGGTTACGTTTTAAGCAAGAGAAATAAACTAGTAAAACAACTGGGACATTTTTTTTATTAAAGGCAAATCCAAGTTGCTGAGTTCCTTCATTTTCTCTTCTTTTTTTATTCAAGTATGCTATGAGACAGTCAAGGACAAATAGTCGAGTAAAAATATTACAATAATTTGAACAAATTATTGTAAACCAAAAAGGGTTTTATTTGTTAATTAATTGCTTATTCAATTGTACCTACAGTAGTGACTGCTGCATGTGGTTAAAGAGAGATCTGAAAATGTCTATTCAACAACATGCCATGTGCTTCTCGTTAGGCTTTTAAATGATGCACTTGTATGGGTGTGTAGGGGACAGATGTAAGATCACTATGTTGAAATATAGTCATTCGAATATAATTATCTTGTGAGAAATTGATGGGAAAAGAAAAATCTGGTTCAACCTCTCCCCTACTGTTTGAGCTAATATTAGTAATATAAAAAATCTATAACTGCACATGGGCACATAGGCTGGACACAGTGTCATCTTAGCAGACTTTATCAGTTGAAAATTCTGTAATTCTGTATTCTGTATTTTATTAATCCAATGGAAAATATACAAACAATAACACCAATAAAAAAAACATTTATTTATTTGAATTGTAATTTTTTTACAGAATATGGTTTAATTTTATTTTTTACTAGTTTTACTAATGGTACGTTACATTATCCTCAGATCTTAAATCTAATGAGTTAAAAAAATCTCCACTTTTTTAGCTTATAGATCCTCTTCTTCTCCATGGTCACTATGGCAACTGTTACAACAATAT